ACCGTATTTTTCCAGACTATAAGCTGCACCCCCAAAATTAAAAAAAAAACAGTACACCCAAAATTTTAGTCAAACAAGTGAATTGAACATCACATTTATTATTTGACAAAGAAAAAGTTGGCAAGTTTACATTTAACTGAACTTATTTTGGTAGTTTTTGAACGGGAACTAACAGTTTCTGATCCAACAAAACAGAAACGTCTCGTTCATCTTCCTCCTSCGCACTGAAACCACTGAAGTCATCATCTTCAGTRTCGGAGTTGAACAAGCTCAGAACAGCTTCGTAACATGCCTTTTCTGTCTCTTGTCAACAACATACCCGGTCATAAAAATCTATCCTTGCGCGAACATGTCCAGGATGTCCGCTTCCAATCCACGGCTGTGCGTATCAGTTAGTGTGTTACTCAGAAGGCAGTTGGGCACAACACCGTGAGTGAAACGACTACTGTGCCAGCCTACTATATAAAGTACTGGCGTTCATTGAACGTTTGTAGAATATGGGACAGACCGAATTCTATGGGATGGGCGGCAACCCCACCTTCGGCCAAAGAGCCCCCTGGTGGCTGAAGAAAAAAATCCACGTATAAGCCGCACCAGACTATAATAATAATAATAATGCATTTTATTTATAAAGCGTCTTTCAGGACACCGAAGAATGTTTTATAAGCCGCATGGTTCAAAGTTCAGGAAAAAAGTCGTGGCTTATAGTCCAGAAAATATGGTAAATGAAAGTTTGTTTCGTCAGTGACAAATTAAATTTTGCTTCTCTTAATTTTTCACAAGCACCGAAGAGCTACTTTAAATGAGCTCCTGAGCTACTGGTTGGAGAGCCCTGTCATAGCCTGTAGCTAAATCCAGGTGAAGACTTTTTTTTTGGCCAGGCAGTGTGTAAGCACATCTACAGAAATGGATGAATTCTGTTATTACCCTTTCCACATTTATTAAAAAACTTATGTGACTATGCTAAAACCTCTAGTTTTGTGATTTGGGGGCTTGTCACCAAGTATTTTGGTCAAATCCTGTCTGTTATTTTATTTTATTTTTTATTTTTGTAGCTTATCTGGGTCTTTGTCAGAAAATGACAGTGATGACCTTGGATTTCAGCTTTAATGTTTAATCACTTCAATGTTTTTAGAAGGTTCTCTTGGCTCTTTTTTTAACATCCACACTAATGATCTGATTAACCTGAGGTTGCATTTCAATATGTTACAATACTGTATCTATGTGGCATTGACACACTCRCAGTCATTTTTCTTAACCCACTTTAGAAAAGCTCTTTAGTAGGAACATGGTCAACAGCACAATCCAGCATAAACAAAATGCTTTGTTTAATTTTAAATCACAAAGGAAACAGATATATTTTTTTATTTTCCACTGTTGAGTATAGTTGTTGCAAAGAATCAATGCTTTGTATTTTCAGCTCTTTTGTTTGCAGCTCTGTCAGAAAAAAACAAAAACAACTCATTGTTTTATTTCCATTCTCTTCTCTAGTGGTTTAAACTAGGAGCCAACATCTCGAATTTCAGCTTCTCTCCAAGTACCATTCTCTTCCATTTTGGACACGCAGGTTAGTGCCCATTGCTACAATGCTCTGAATATTACAGATGAGACTGTGTTTTATGTTCCTCTCGTGGTGTTCAGGATAAGTAAATTACGTTGAACATTGTGTGTAATCACAATTCAACCTATTCAAATACAAATATGAAAAAGAAAATGCACTTAACATTTTGGTATCAAGACCTCCGAAATCATCTTGTGTGAATGTGAGTGTGAATGGGTGAATGTTTGTTAGTGTAAAGCGCTTTGGGGGTCTGGAGGGACTTGAAAAGCGCTCTATAAGTTCAGTACCATTTACCMTTTGATGTAACAAGCCTGTACAACTAAATGAAACATGACAACACCGTGTAATTATTTACCTGAAACTATAATAGTCTGGGGTGGAAAAAAACATCTGCTGCCTCCTTTGATTCTTTAAATTGTGGATCCACCCACAGTGTTAATTTCCCTCTGCTTTATTTTGGTATTCATGGGAGCCAAGGTATCAATAAGCCCAACTCATCAGCTCTTCACCACAGTGSTTAACAGAAAATATGTTTTATGTTGATATGCTTCAGACAAACATTGTTCAGTATTTGCTCCAAACCCAAACTAGCCCAAGTTATTTTTCGGTTCTCCAGTTCATGGGGAGCAAGTTTTTCCTTTTTAAAACTAATACTAGTGTTGGCCATCTTTGTTTTTTTGCATCTAATTTACAACAAATGTTAAAACATTGTGTAAGATGTAAGTTGAACATGGGCAACAAAAGATTTTAATAGCAGGTGGTGTAATTAGAAAACAGTTGGAAGAGCATTTTTTAACTAATTAGGTTTTTAACAGCTCTGTGAGAGGACTTGAAATAAAAAGAGCCTTTTAGAGAACCTGACCATAYCATCAAACATCTTAACCTGGATAAATCTGTGCTCAAAGCACAAGGATGAAAGTTAATATTGTTTGTGATGTGCAGGCCCTCAGATGCTACTGCATTCAAAACAGGTCTGATTGTGTTCTAGTCATCACTGCATCGGCTCTGAAACACCTCCATAAGTCACTAGCTGTGTTTCCATTACAAATGTGTGTAAAACTTTGTCGATATTCTGTTAATGTCGAAAAAACACAGTTTCGCAATTGCAGTGTTTCTATTAAGTAAGAAATGCTATTAAAGTCACGCGTGAATACGTTTGTTCTCGTGATAAGTAATTACAAACAAGGCGGCAATGGATGTAAACACATGCTGCTACTAGAAATGGGTACCTTTTGACGTTTGAATCGATTCGGTACCAATATCCGGTACCTGGGAATCTGTACCGGTACTTAATGGTACCAATTTTCGGTACTTTGTGTTTGTTGTTTTTTAATAATAAACTTTTATTTATTTTTTATTTAACATATTTCTCAATATATAAAATTAACAAATATCAAGACAACATCCAACTCTTTGTATTGTAACATCAGTTGTGTAAYTTATTTCTTTAAAGTGAAAACTCTTGAAAACAACCAGACTGTTTTGTCTTATTGCACAAATTAAAATCCAGCTCCATGTATTTCTATTGATGTCATTTCCCTGCTAGAAAAATTGTGTGATGGAGGTCCATGGAAGGCAAATAAGTTTAAATCAAATAAGCAAAAGAGGATGGAGTTCAAATAAATAAAAGGTATTCAAGCTACGTTTTGAGCATCCAAAACGCGCCCAACACTTCAAGTTAGCTGCTTGTGTTCTTTAGGTCAGATGTGTTCGGACTGTCGGGAAGCWCCTCTGTTGTTTTCCTCTGCTGGTCTCTATTTAATGACAGTTGATATAAAGAAAATGGCGGTACTTTATTTACTTTGAGCAAGCAAACGTCGTGTTCACAAGATAATTAATCCACCAGATAATTCAAAGGCVGTCTGTTCGTTGAGTTTTACTCCAGGAGCTGCGAGGTTTTCAAGCTAYGTTTAGACCAAGCTMTGCCTCTCTCTGTTAACTGAAATCAGCGGCTGCTGACGTCATTACGCTTTTGCGTGATGCTGCATTCAGGACAAGCATGGAAAACTCACCACTCTTATGCCAAACCAGTCGCAATGATGCATTTAGGTACCGAAACATGGTACTGTTTGATGTTACTTGAATAGATACTCGRTAGTACCGACAGAATTAGGTCTGTACATCAAAAAGTATTAAATTCAGTACCCATCCCTAGCTGCTACCACGGCACTAGTGCTCACCATCAGAGGAGACGTAAGCGTCTTATCAAGGCTTTCCAGTGACAAGCTTCTTATACTTGGGAGCGGCTACATTTGCTGTGTTTTTGGGTAATTGTAGTCGTTGGGTTTACTACTTTCTTTTACAACTTCGTTGATTTTACTACTACTTCTTCTTCCTGTTATCTTCTTTGTTGTCGTCTTTTTCGCCAGTAGAAACAGCCGGTTGTTGATCACATGACTCCCGTGATGCGAAAAAAGTGTTTCCATTGCAGTTTTGTGAAACATACCAATTTCGATACGTCCGAAAAACCACCTCATCCTAGCGCAAAAATATTTTGTCGATAAAAGGAAGTTTTCTTTAAATCGACGTGTTTCCATTGAGCAAATTTATTTTCGGAATTCTAATTTGCGTATTTTCATGGTCAATGAAAACGCAGCTTCTGTCTGGTTCATTGTGCCTTCCACAAATGGACATTAAATTATTGTGCAATAAAGAAGCCATGTGATGCCATCTTCTCTCAGCCAAAAGCAAAACTTAGCAAAAGTGGAAAAATGTTCTAAAGTCAAAGAAATCCAAACCTTAATTTGTCTTTAAAAACCACAAATGCCCTTTCTGCCTTACTGAAGAGATAAACAGTTTGTTTTGTTATTGAATCATAATTCAAACTCCTGCCTCTGGTTATTTCCTACATCCCCAACTCCACTGAAGTCAGGACGTTGTGTAAAGCATAAATAAAAACAGAATACAATGATTCACAAATCCTCATCATCCTATATTCAATTAAGTAAACTACAAAGACAAGATGTTTAATGTTCAAATAGATAAACTTTACTGTTTTTTTTTTGTTTTTTTGGCAAATATTCACTCATTTTGAATTTGATGCTGCAACATGTTCCAAAAAAATTTAGGACGGGGTCATGTTTACCTCTGTGTTACATCCTTTCCTTTGAACAAGACTCAGTAAGTGATTGTGAACTGAGGTTTAATTGTTGAAGCTTTGTAGCTGAATTCTTTAACGTTCTTGTTTGATGAACAGCTTCAGTTGCTCAACATTTGGGGTCCTTGATACTTATGGGTGTCTTGCAGCGTGCAGTGAACCCTCTGTATTTACTTTCATGCAGGCTTCTCTTTATGGTAGATTTGGATATTGATACTCCTACCACCTGGAGGGTGTTGTTCACTTGGTTGTTGTGAAGGGGTTTTCTTCACCATGGAATTTATTCTGTGATCATCCACCACTGTTGTCTTCTGTGGGTGTACAGSTCTTTTGATGAGTTCACCAGTGCTTTCTTTCTTTCTCAGGATGTACCAAACTATACATTTTGACACTCYTAATATTGTAGCAATTTTTCCACCATTTTTTTCCCTGTTAGCTTAAAGATGGCTTGTTTCCCCTGCATGAAGAGCTCATTTGACCGCATGTTTTCTTCACAGTAAAATCTTCCAAATGCAAGCAACACACCTCAWATCAACTCCAGGCCTTTTATCTGCTTAATTAATTGCCCACACCTCCCCATAAAATAGTCTTTGAGTCAGTCATCCAGTTACTGTTGCTCCCTTTTAAAAGCAGGGTGGCACATGCTCAGGAGCTGAACTAATAAATCCTTCATTCACTTTTTATGTGACCGTCCTCAAATGAAAGCTGAAAGTCTGGACTTTGTCTTTTATAGAACTATAACTTGAATATGTTTCTGTAAACAAATAAATAAACAAACTTTGTCAGTGTTCAAACAGATTTGGCCCTGACTGTACACTGAGAAACGTTCTTAAACTGTTGGACTGTTTGCTCACACAGTTGTTCATGAAGAGGCGAACCTCACTTTATCCTTACTTGTGAATGACTGAGCCTTTTGAGGATGCTCTTTTTTATACTCAACCATGACACTCACCTGTTTCCAATTAACCTGTTCACCTGTGGAAAGTTTTTTTGGAGGACACATCAGACAAGAATTGGACATTCTCCTAAAAAAACCTCCCACATCTGGTCTCCTTAGTTCCTCTATGTTTACAGACTGTTGTTAAAAGAAGAGAGGATGCTTCACAGTGGGAAATATTGTCCTGTCCCAGCTTTGACGTGTTGCTGCTATAGATAAAACATTATCTTGTTCATTTCAAAATCTGATATATTTTTTAGTTCCATTTTTGAATAAAATATGAATTAATAAGATTTGCACTTTATTTACATTTTACACAACATTGTGACTTTGTCGGAATTCGGGTTGTTTTAAAGAGCTGGTATAAACCCGGTACTTGTTTTGATGATGTCTTAACACCTGTAAAGTTTGGAATTTAAAAATAAAGGACTTTTTTTTCCTGTTCTCTACTTTACCTTTTTATTTAAAAAGGAGTAAAAATTCTCGTTTGTCATTTCAGCCATGCTCGGCCTAATGTACGTCTACTGGACCCACCTCAACATGTTTCAGACCCTGAAGTACCTGGCAATCATCGGTGGTGTAACTTTCCTTTCTGGGAACCGCATGCTGGCCCAGAAAGCAGTGAAGAGGTACGTCTCTTGATGGTGCCTGGCACAAATAGTTCCCYAAGTCCCTCATCCAAAAAAACTGAGACTGGCCACTTTCAGGTGACAAGGACTCTGCTGATTTAAGAACTCTTGGTAATTCTTTGTCCTAAACCTGAGGAAAAGTGCCTTTCTCATGTCTGTAGCTCCTTGGACCTTCAGAGGGTGATTTTGATGCAGAGCTCTCCTAAAGAAGGGCTCCTCTAGGGAAGGACAGAAATGTAGCAACAAGATGTTCAAAAGTGACGATCTGAGTGGGCAATTTCTTCACCATCAATATGTAGAGCACTTAAATAGCCAGAGTGAGCAATTTATAGCATGTCTACTGAATAGGTCACTTTGTAATTAGTCTCTTTCACTTCTGTCTTACAGCAACTCATTTAACCATTTAAAAAAAAGAATTAAAGATTGTGCCAGTGCCCTTTTCCCTTTGAGGATAGTTTCCTTTTTATCTGCTTGAAGCTGGTGCTTTTCTCCTTTAACCACTCTATGCACACATCGCTGTCTCTTTACTCCTCTTTCAGGATTGCTGCAGAGCAAAGTAGTAGGTTGGCAAAGTATAGGAGCCTGCGATAAACCAGCCTTTAGTAACAAGTTGTTCTGCCTCCAGGCTGAAGTAAGGGCATCCTCTCAGACTGCATCCACACTGCATCTCCATAATGTCTGGCAGTGTGCATGGCTGTGTGGTTTGCTCACTCACTCATTTCAATGCTGAGTGCACTTGCTGCCCTCCCCCCTGGTTTGCCTCTTCTCTCATCCTGTCATGGTCACCACAACCAAAACCATACCAGTTCTTCAGCAGTCCTTCCATTACGAACTACGTCTCATGGTTCTGGTTGTATTGTAGTGTCTCAGTGATATGGTTGGTGTTCTATAACAAAAACGTTTTGCAGTCCTCATTTTAGTCATTTCTGAGAAATTCTAGGATGCACATCTAAATGCATGTTTTGCCACATAATAATAATAAAAAAACTAATTCCTAAAAGTCTTCCTGTCATGACCAAATTAATGCTTTCTTGTTTTCCCACAGAATGGAGAAAAAATGAGGACAAGTGACTAAAAGAAGACAATGACGGTTATTTTTTATTGGAAAAAGCAACAACAACAAATAAAAAAAACAACAAAACATGACATGAACAGTCAAGAATCCAACCAACAGTTAAATATGCAGTAGGTCTGTGTTTAAGTGGAAGAATTTGGGATATGACAGCRTTTTTGAAAGCCTGGACAAACACCAACAGATTCTCTACTGAAGACTAAAAAAGCTACTGATCATTGCACTTCATCTTCTGTGAGCTTTTTTTTTTCTTTTTTTTTTCAATATGCCATAGTTTAATTGAGCTGAGACTTTCTTTGAGATTTGGGATTTGTTTGTTTTTTATGTACATTCCTCTATGCTGTTGCTCAGTGCCTATTTCACCTCCTTCATGTTCAGCTAGTAATCACCATCTGGCTGTAGCACTGACACTTGTTATTTACTATGCCATTATGTTTGCCTGTGGTACTCTATTTGATACAGAAGATGTCCTCATTAAAATTTGGTAATAAAACACGGCCACAGAATGTGATGTTTTTGTAATGAGGGAAAAATAAAGATTCTGAGGTGAATCAAAGTTTGTCGTAATGTAGTATTTTTACTGTGGAAAAATAAACACTTGAATGTTTTTGGCGAACCCCACAAAATGTTTCATTTGTGCACAACAGATAAATCAACAATTCAAGATTCACTTTTCTTGATGAATATTTAACCTTTTTAACATCTATTCAAACTCTTTGTTTGTTTACAGTTTATCTCAGCTGGTAAGAACAGTTGCCATTTTGATTTACCATTTATCCATAGTCAAATTGGGGACAAACCCAGACCAGAGTTGTTATAGTGAACTAAAACTACTAAATAACAAAAACTGAAATTGAAAAACATTTGTTAACTAAAATAAATAAAAACTAATAAAATGACTAATGATTAAAACTGTAATTTTTTTTCAAAACTAACTGAAATGATAGATCATCCTTAATATTAGTCAATTTATTCGGAGCCATGTGGATCTTTTTTTTATTCCTTTCAAATTTAAAGTTTCACATTAGCTGTGGGCCGTAACACTTGTTTAAAATCTGCTGCTCAGCATCGTCTGCTGAGAAAATGGCAATGTTCACTTTGGGATGTCTTTGAGTTTGATGTTTTTAACTGCGAGAAAGATGAAAGCAAGAGTTATTGTTGTGGAAATATTTGTTACAAACACGTGAATAAAACGATGCGCTTCGTAGAATGGTTGTCGTGATGATTTATTTAGTTGCAATTGTAAAAGTGTCGCAGCGTGAGCAGATCTCAGCATTAAGCTTGTAAAAGTCTCATCACCCCACAGCAGCGAACAGAGGTTGTCTCTATAATGGACTGCTTTAACTAGTGACCAAATAACTGTTGGTTAGTAAACTCACAGGAACATCACAAGCTGGAGGATGCATTGGAAAATAAGCTATAAAAAACATACTAGAACTAACAAAAAATAAACTAAAACTAAGCATTAAAAATGTAATAAAAACTAGCAAATCCACTGTAAAAACTAATGAAAATTAACTGAATTAAAAGAAAAAAGTAACAAAGTAAAACAAAACTATAATGAAAAATCCAAAACTATTATAACCTTGACCCAGACATCCCTCTCMTTAGCGAATGCTTAAAGATTTCTTATGACTAAACTATGGAGTCCTGATGAACAAAAAGCAAAGACTGAATAAACACCATCTTCACCACCAGGAGGAACATTCCCTGTAACCTCCTGGAAACACTAGCATCGAGCTGAAACAAAAGTTTGAGGTGATGAACAAGAATGGCTCAACTTCTATTTTAGAGGGATTTTTACTCATTTTTAAAATCGCTCCCATTTCTTGCGTTTTGAAGCTCCACTTAGAGCCTTCTTAGCTACAAAGCAACAATGCAAAATGTGAATTCTTGCCATTTCTCAACTGGTCTTAAAGTTTTGATTAGTAGTGTACACTGTATACGTACAGTTGAAACCAGACGTTTACATACACTATAAAAAAGGCACGTATGCATTTTTTACACACTGATGTGAAATCATAATAAACTTTTCCCCTTTAAGGTAAACTAAGAGTAAAATTTTCAAAGGCAATTTTTATTTTTATTACTGTCTGCACAGTCACAATTTTAAACAYACTCCATTAGTATTTGGTACCATTACCCTTAAACTGTAAGATTTGTCTATATATTAAAAATAAATAAATCAAGTTCAGGTCAGGGCTTTATGAAGGCCTTTCCAGGAGCTTAATGTTAGTCTGATGAAATTTTTGGAAATTATTGTCTTGATAAAATATCCACTTGTCTCTGGGTTTCAACAGCTGCTGATTTGAAGTGAAGTTGAATAATTTTGTATTACTGAAGTTAGTCCAGAACGCTTAATGATTACTAATAAGAAGGCAGACTGTGACAAGTTACAATCCTTGAACCTTCCACCACTTATTAATACATTTATGTGCATTTAGGGCTGTATGTACAGTGGTTTGCAAAAGTATTCATACCCCTTGAACTTTTCCATATTTTGTCACATTACAACCACAAACATAAATATATTTCACTGGAATTT